TTCTTGGCTCAGTGTAAGAGCATGTTGGCCGGGCCTGGTGGCTCACGCCTGTAATCCCAGAACTTTGGGAGGCCGAGGTAGGCGGATCACCTGCTAGGTCAGGAGTTCGAGACTAGCCTGGCCAATATAGTGAAACCCCGGCTCTTCTATAAATACAAAAATCAGTTGGGCGTGGCGGCACACGCCTGTAATCCCAGCTACTCGGGAGGCTGAGGGAGGAGAATTGCTTGAACCCGGGAGGAGGAGGTTGCAGTGAGCCGAGATCAGGCCATTGCCCTCCAGTATGGGCGACAGAGCAAGACTCCATCTAAGAAAAAAAAAAAAGAAAGAAAAAGAGCATGTTAATGATGAAACCTGTCCATAAATAGAAAATAACTTCCACTCCTTGGGAGATAAAAAGTTATCTGTCATTCTAGTGGTGTCAGCATAGGTTGGAGAAATACTTTACAGATATATTATGGAAGGGACTCAGGCGCTGATTTCTTGTGTGTTTGGGCCATTAAATGTGCTTTGAGTCTTGAAATCTTCTTTATGAGTCACCTTCTAGAGAAGAGGTAGGAATTTTTTTCAGAGTAGTGTGGCTATTACCATGTTTGTTGTATTGAGGAAGTGGTATTCTAGTGGAGTTTCTAGACCTGCAGACAACTTTGGGAATGGATTTTAATTGCTTGTAACGAAAAATAAGTAAAAACTAATGTACTTATATGCAGCATCATAGCAGTTACTCCTTTATCAGAAGGTTATAGATTATAATCATAAACTAATCTACAAGATTTAGAACTACTTTAGATAAACGCAGTTATAGTTTGGGGCATCATTTTATTAAAGGCATTTATTAAATATATGATTAAAAATAAAATATTCTTCATAAACAATTTTACCAAAATTGTTTGCCCCATTGTATTGTATTTAAAACTTTCAGTGAACATTGAGGTATTGTTAAAGACAGACGAGTTACAGATTTGAGAGAATGGAACATAGTGTTAGAACACCAGAGTGATTGTCATTAGAAGTAGAGCAAACAAGATTGTTTTGGCTAATTCAATAAGGTTTGAAACAGCATAACAAGGGATAATGAACCAAGTGAGGACAAAACTATCTTTGCAGATTAAATGACTGTATACTTACAAAAGCAAATAAACTTAGTTCTAAAGCCTTAGAATTAATAAGAATGCAGCAATGGGCTTATACAGGTGACACAGAAAAAAAGCAATATGGTAGGTTCTCATTTTGTTTTGTTTTTGTTAATGTTAGAGTGTTTTCCATTCCCAATTTTGATTATTTACAATCTACATAAAAGTCCATGGCATGTGTTTATCTGTAATTTTGCTGAAGGACAAATTTGTATCTTGCCAGTTTTTGTGCAGTTTTGGTCTGTGGTGTCTTAATTAGTGAGTAAGTTTCCTCTTGACAGTCACACTGAATAAAACTTTGCAACTTAATATATACACAGTCATGTAACTCTGGTGTAGGCGACCTGTTGTTATCTTCATTTTATAGATGGTGAACCTAATAATATATGCCTGAAGGGAATGGGGAGGTTACAGGGCTTGAGATCAATTCCCTGGGTCTCCTTCAGCTTGATCTCTATTAACAATAACAATCTAAGAAAAATAATGAAAAAATATTTGGTTAATTAGCTAATAATATATTTATTCAAAATATTAAAAAAGGAAAGTTCAAATGTTTACTAAGAATAATTCAAGAAGACTTAAAAACCAATAATATATAATACTGATGAGGTTACAATGATATGGAAGCTTTCATGTGCAAAAGGTAAGGGTATGAAATTAAAATTTCCCTGAAAGTAATTTGGCATTCTATGGCAAGAACAGTTCTGATTTTCATCTAATATGTCCTGGCCTGGCCCTGCTGGTTGTTAAAAATATTGAAATTCTTGATAAACAGCTACTTTTCTTCCATATTACCGCAGTCCCAGATATTGCTTCAGTGCTTTCTCCTGCACATCCTGACTTGCCTCCCCACCCCCCATCTCCAGGGCTCCAGCAACTGGCCTGACTTTGCCAGTCCAGGAGGGCTGCTAGGACTGTGCTACAGTTTTTCAGCCTGCATCCTTTCTGAGCACCTGCCACCGTTGTACTTGGGCTTTTTGTTGTTGTTGTTGTTGTTTATCACTGTTTTTAAAAATATCATCACAGATCAAGAGTCTTATTCCAATCATTAATTTCCATTATGCGGATTAACTTTAAAAAATTAATATTTTTGCAAAAAAATTTATGGCTGATTTTCAGTCTCCTCACAATAGCAAAACATCTAAAACTATATATGAGACTGACGACAGTCAATTTTAAGTATATTTACATGTATTTATATTAACTATACTATAGTTATATGTGTATATATTACCTATACTATACTATTTATAATATAATTATGTAATATGGCATTATATAATTATAATTATATAATATCA